CACCGTTTTACACAGCTAGAACTTTTTTTTTCTGATTGTCCCATGTTGCTTTAGAAAACTCCTAACTGAAGAATTAACGAAAATTTCAAGATGTCCCAATTTACCCCCCCTGGTAACTTGGGACAGCCACTAATTAATTATTTTTTTGGCTTCGTATTGTTTTACTAATAATTATGTTTATTTTTATTGGAAAATAACCTGACTCAATATTCGAGCATGATTTACAAATTATTTTCCTAAATTCATCAAAGTTATCCAAGCTTGAATGTTGAAATTGTCCCAAGTAACCCCGTTTGACGGTACAATTTTTTCTACTGACTTTTCATAATAGCAACTTTTCGATTGTCATTTTAGTTTTAAAACGACATTCTTTTAAGCACTGAGTGCGTAAAAGTGACTTTTGAATGCGTAAAAGTGACTTGAGTGCGTAAAAGTAATTTTTAAGCACTAGTGCCTAAAAGTGTCATTCATTATTTAGAAATAAAAAACACACTAAACACAGATTTGAATTTTGTTTTGTAATTATTATGAATATTAAAAATGTAATTATTGAATTGAACGTTTGGGTTACTCAAAACAGAACTTTGTGTTGTTACCTACTTTCTGGAATTTTAATTATCGATATCTAATCTTGAAAAAAAAATCGCATAAAAAGTGTCAGGTATCAAGCAAAAGCAGGTAACAAAGATTTTGGGCGTAATCGACTTATTCACATGAAATAAAATATTGTTTTTTTATTATAAAATGCCAGTAGAAAAAATCTTGTATACAATACGTTACGAAACGATGTCTTTTAGTCACTCGACGTGTTGTCCAACTCGGCTTTGCCTCGTTGGACAATTTTCACGTCGCGTGCCTAAAAGACGCTTATTTCGTAACTTATTGTATAAATAGCTATTTTATGAAAGATGTCCATTTAAATCCCATAAATTCATATTTAAAAGTAACAAGAGGTTGGGAACAAAATGGTGGTGGGACCTCTATTGTCGCCACTGTATGTAAAGGTTTATTTAGCCACTGTAGTCGTCCCAATATCAGACCGCCGCCTAAGAAGTTTCACTTTAAACTGTTGTGTATTAGACTTCTAAATGATACACATTTGTATCATTAAATCCAAAGGTATTTCTTCACAAATTTGAATTGTATCCCTGCCTTTGATAACAATAGAGAGATATCGGTAAAACAGATAGCGCGTATGGACGGTAATAACGTCAAGAGTTATTTTTTTAAAGTAAAGCGGTATCATACTTTCAAATTAGAGTTATCGGAAAACAGTTTAACGTAAAATTTGCCTGTTCGCATCCGTTATTTTATAAACGTAGCCTAACTTGTACCTTGTTGTGATTTGATTTGTGTTGTCTGTTGTTCATGGTCAGGGACAGAGGATTTGCTTTTTTTACTATTTATTGAACACTCCATATTCACTTGAACACAACAAAAATAATAAAATAAATAATAAACATAACATTTTTTTTTTTTTTTTTTATTTGTCAAACACATTGTGTTTGCAACTTTGGAAAGTTGCAGAAGTAATCATGATACCAAAACCCGGAAAACCACCTCATGATGTGTCATCTTATAGGCCAATATCATTATTGCCCGTTTTATCTAAGCTTTATGAAAAGATACTGCTAAAAAGAATAAAACCGATCATAGAAAGACAGGAAATCATTCCAACTCATCAATTTGGATTCCGCGACAAGCACTCTACGATCGACCAAGTACACAGAATAACGAATTTAATAGAAAAATCGCTGGAAGAGGGAAAAGTCTGTTCCGCAGTTTTCCTCGATGTAGCGCAAGCATTTGACAAAGTTTGGCATGAAGGCTTAAACTATAAACTAAAGCTGTTTCTGCCAAAACAATATTCTGATATTTTGGAATCATATATGTGTGATAGACATTTCAGAGTCAAACAGGAAGATTTTGAGTCAAATTTACGAAAAATAAAAGCAGGTGTACCTCAGGGTAGCGTGCTAGGTCCCTACTTATATTTATTATTTACATGCGACATCCCAAAACCAGAAAATTGTCATTTAGCAACATTCGCCGACGATACTGGTTTAATTACAGTGGAAAAAAGTATTGAACAATCAACAGAAAAACTGCAGAACGCTGTCAGTGAAGTTCAAAATTGGACCAAAAAATGGCGAATAAAATTGAATGAAACCAAATCAATTCACGTTGATTTTACAAACAAAAACGTAAATCACATACAAATCACAATTAATGACACCCCTATACCATATTCAAATCAAGCTAAATATCTTGGTATGACGCTTGATGCGAAATTGCGCTGGACAGCACATGTTAAGAAAAAAAGGCAAGAGCTTGAATTTAAGTATAGAAAAATGTACTGGTTAATTGGATGGACGTCCAATTTAACCATACATAACAAGTTACTACTTTATAGGCAAATACTGAAACCAGTATGGGCATATGTAATTCAACTTTGGGGTTGCACTAAAGATAGTAATATACAAGTTATTCAAAGATTCCAAAATAAAGTACTAAGAAACATTGTTAATGCACCTTGGTACGTTCGAAATAGTGATCTACATCGGGAACTAGGAATTGATACTGTAACAGAGACTATAAGAAAGTACGCAAAAAGCCATGAAGATAGACTACATCGGCATGTGAATGTGGAAGTCATTGAGCTCCTAGACAATACTGAGCTAGTTAGAAGACTGAGAAGGGTGAAGCCGTTCGAGCTAGTGAACTGAAATTGAAAAACACAACAAAACAGTGCTATAAACACATCAAAATTGTGATTTACAGTTTAAGCAAAGTGGGGAAAACTGTTGACTGAACCTCAAGAATTGTAAACTTTATAGTAAATTAGGTTAAAACAAAATTGCTAATTAGTCTTACTGACTAGATTGTAATGTAAACATAACATAACCTATTATTCCACGGCGTTATTTTTAGACGTTATTCGAAATAGCGCTTAACGTAAATGCTGGGTAAATTACGTTATGCGGTAACGTTATTTTAGTACGTAGTGTTAAAAATCGAATCGCGCATAGGTTTAATAGAGAGATATCGGTAACCCAAATAGTGTCATGCAGTATTAGCGCCTACGTTATTTTGACATTAAACCTATGCGCGATTCGATTTTTAACACTACGTACCAAAATAACGTTACCGCATAACGTAATTTACCCAGCATTTACGTTAAGCGCTATTTCGAATAACGTTTAGAAATAACGCAGTGGGATAATATAGGTTATGTTATGTTTTTGTTTATTTTATTATTTTTGTTGTGTTTAAGTGAATATGGATTGTTCAAAAAATAGTAAAAAGGCAAATCCTCTGTCCCTGACCATAAACAACAAACAACACAAATCAAATCACAACAAGGTACAAGTTAGGCTACGGTTATAAAATAACGGATGCGAACAGGCAAATTTTACGTTAAACTGTTTTCCGATAACTCTAATTTGAAAGTATGATACCGCTTTACTTAAAAGAAATAATTCCTGACGTTATTACCGTCCATACGCGCTATCTGATTCACCGATATCTCTCTAATGTCAAAATAACGTAAGCGCTAATACTGCATGACACTTTTTGGGTTACCGATATCTCTCTAATATCAGAATTCAGAATACAAGCAAATAAACACTTGAGTTGTTAAATTTTATTCTTTATTGGGATATCAAATGCCGGCGACAGATTTGAGAGAGTGGAGACAATGGAGAGTGATTTGAAAGACGCGTCACTTTTTGGCAAATTTAGTTACATGAGAAAGAAGGAAGATATAACGTAGAGAGACGGATAAAGACAGCCAATGACAAACAGCCGACGAACGATTGACACAAACGAAAGATTTTAAGCAAAGAAGATTGCCTATTATTGTTGTCAAGCGTCGATATCCATATGACGTCACTACAGATGCTCGTCTCCCTTTTGCGTAGTCTTTCCTTCGTCTTTACCATGACTCATACGCTGACGTCGCTAAGTCTAAAGTCAAAAAATTGTATTGCATATCAATGCTCTGAATTTTGTACCTACTTAAGAGAGGAGTGGGGCGGCGAAAATGTCTGCGCACACAGGCGGCTAACACCATAGCGGCGGCCCTGTCAATTTTCATCGTCACAATCCAGGTATTCTTTCGATCTGAACAAACTTTTAGGGCAAATGAAATCGTTGTAAAACCAGATGACAATTGTTTGAAACAAACCTCAAGTGATTTATTCGATTTGTTTGTTCAGATCGAAATAAGAATTCCTCTATTGTCAAATTCAATTGATGAAAAAAGTGAGCGTTCCGGTATAAAGGGTACAATGCGCGCATTGCGAAAGAATAAGAACACTGCGCAAAGTGTATTTTCCGCACGCAAACACTTATCTAAATGCCGCTTCGCGTCGTTCGTATAAATTTGTTTGCGTGCGGAAAGTAACACTTTGCGCACTTGCTAGGAAAATAACTATTTCTCTTCAAATGGATAATAAAAATACCGGACAATCGGACAAACGGTCGGTCCGTTACAAAAACGGACGTAGGGGGCAAAGGGCAACCCTACCGGCCGTCGTAAACAACAATAAAAAAAAAAGAAATAAATGTAATTAGTTTTTGGTTAGTTGTTTCTTAGTAGTTTATATTGTTTCGAATAAATTTTTATGCAAATTTATTGTCTCATTTTTTATTTTTATATCATCTCGCTGGAGAAAACATACTGTTTCTGTTTCAGACTCTTCTCTACTCGACTGCTGCTCGGATCGGAATGAACTCCGTTGTTCGTCGTTCGGTCAACTGCAGCCAGCGTGCGAACAAGGCTTTACTTCGACTGCCGCAGATTTATTTCGGAGTTTGCCGAGATAGATGACTGCTAAACATTAGGAAATCCTGCGATGTTCTTGGTATTCGCGAAAGGTTCCGAAGTAGGTGACCGAATTGAGCCACCTGACCTAAAAAAGATTTCACACAAAATTTCAGCTTGGGCAATTTTTTTTTCTAATTTTGGCTTTCTAAGCTAATTTTACTGGACTAGGCGACGGAACAATCACCACCTCACGTGACTTCACCATGGAGTATCTAATCCCTCTGCCGTTAGATGGCGCCACGAAAGAGAAAGTTACTCGCGAAATCTATTTTACCAACCAAACAAAATGGAGTACTATTAAAAATAGTTATGTGTACATTTCATTCATTGGAAAACCTGTGTTGGAAAACGTAACAAAGTAGCAAAATAAATCGTATTTTGTTTAGTGCAGTAGTGGCCTATTTTTTTAAACATTTTCGTAGTGCGAATATCGAAAACATGTTAATTTTCTTTACGGACTTAAATACAAATCGCGAAGTGTTTGTGCCTGTGATTATTTTGATATGAAAACCTGGTCGAAATTAAATCCCTAATGAAAAACCCTGTTAAAATATGTTTATTGGGAAATACCTCCAACTTGGTCAGTGTTATATGCAAATTTGCCCAGTAAATAAGTTTAATCTTTAAGGAAAAACAATTTAAGGCAGCTATTTTATGAGTCTGATGTCCTACTCTCAGGAATTTTAAAGGTAACAAAACAATAAATTATTGCTGCTGGCAGGTTTCGTATTTTATCAAAGACTCGTCGTGTTTTTTTTTTTAGAAGCTTCCAGTCTGATTGTCTTTTAGTTAAGTGGAAAAAGTATGATGTGATGTTTAGAAGTTGTGCCCTAGAAAAGTAATGACCAGCCAAAATTCATCATTTACACAGGTGAGATTTGTTTTGACATTTTATTTTTAACCCCTTCATGTTGTTCTACTTCTAACACCGCCCTTTGGATTAAGAATTACTGACTCACCACACCAGTTAAGTATCAGTAAATTCAGTTAGTTATCAGTTAGTCATTAATTCAAGAAATACGGTAAATAGGTCATCATTATTAGTTTGTGCCTACTTTCAATTTATAAAGTTTCCAGATATTTTTTATTGAACTCAATATTATCATTTTATTTTAGAAACTCCACTTTTTCAATTAATATATTTATCTACAAGCGTTTGGTTATGACGTTTTTACATAACTATTTTTCTAGTATTTGAGTTGTGTTATGAGACTCGCAAAATACAACTAGTGGTGTGATAGACTAGGTTATGAATTCATAACACAACTAGTGGTGTTATGGACGAGGTTATGAATCTATAACACAAGGATTTTTGGTGATTTGACAAATGTCAAAGGTAAACCTGTAAAGGTGAAATGAAGGTAGACAACTACTAATGAATGAAAATAATTAAAAAACCATTCCTATTTTTCGCTTTATAGATAAAACGTTGTACATCACGCATGCGTTTAAACATGATTACAATAACGAGTGTGGAAGATTAAAACGACGAGGTCGTAGACCGAGTCGTTCTAATCACACGAGTAATGTAAATAACTATTTCACCACTTGGACTTTTACCTTTATTTGAGACTAGGTACATAAAAACAATTTACTTATAAGCATCTTTTGTAAAAACAAAATATATTGCTTAAATATATTTGAGCAATAGGTTTACAAAAGTATTTATTTAATAAAGTCTCTTAACAGTGCTTCAAACATTGGTATTGAGGCTGGTTAACTTTAACAGATAATGTATCCGAGAATGTATCAAACCAAAATTGTTTTATTTTCCAGATGAATTTTTAACATCCTCGCAAAATTTTAAAAGCTATGATTGTTCCTCCGATTTTTCATTGCATTTGCTAAATTGTTAAAACTCGTGTTAAAAGTACGAAGCTTGTTAAATTAGATTATTTAAACTTTTGTTAGTATTTTTATATCCTACTGAACTATTAAAACCATATAATACCTTGGTTACGATAATCATAAACAGGGTCTTAACTCCCAAGGGAGTTAATGATTTTCATAACTCCCAAGGGAGTTAAGGAAGGGTGTTAAGGATATCATAACTCCCAAGGGAGTTAAGGATTTCCATAACTCCCGCTTTTACCTTGAATAGGTAACACTTTGACAAAAAATAGAAATTTTGATTTCTGGCTTATTCCTTTATAAAAATAGACAGAATACAGTAGGATATAAAATTATCTATGTACCACGGGAATTATCAGGAGTTAATACCCACGGGCAATTGGTGTCCCTCGGGCCGGAGGCCCTCGGGACACAAACGTTGCCCTGGGGTATTAACACCTGCATAATTCCCTTGATACATAAATAACTATAATTACATTGATAAATATCTTAGTTACACAAGACCTAATAGTATTCAAAAGTTGAGCTAGCTGGTAACCCCCAAGACCCCCATATAGGTCCTATAAATAAATAAATAAATTCTTTATTTACGGACATGCCATTTTTACAAAGGTAGACTTAAAGTGTAGGTACACGCAATAATAAATATTTGGAATAACAAGTAGGCAACAGACAAGTTAGTATAAAAAAACAATATTACATAAGCCTAAACAAATATTTTGTAGTAGGTATCAAAACATAAACAACATAATACGCTTAAAATTGAATACAAATAGAAAAAACGATCATTTTAGGATCGACTTTAAAATTCTTTTGAATCTATCCAAACTTATGTTAAAAACATCCAAATCAGTCTTCAAAATAATATCATTCAGAGAACGACAGCTTCTAAGTAAAGGTGAATGGTAACCATAATTGGTTCTACGAAAATCAAGGTTAAACAATGTGTTTCCTCTTAAATTGCTAGATGGTACATGTAAGCCAATTCTAGCAAGTAAGTCTGGAGAATCAATAGAATTATTAACAATCTTAAACAAAGTACACATATCAAAAAACTGTCGCCTCTGGTTCAGATTTTCAAGATTTAGGACAGACATTAACTCATTATAATTTATAGATTCACTTGGGATGCCCAATCGATATGCAATGGATCTTAAAAACTTTTTTTGGATTCGTTCCAAGTGGGAGATGTGCACAGCATAATAAGGGGACCAGACAGGGCAAGCATATTCTACAACTGATCTAACAATTGCACAATAAATGTTTCTTAGGGTGTAGATATTAGTAAATTCTTTTAGTGACCTGAACATAAAGCCTAGTAATTTCATTGCTTTATTAGCAGTTATTTCAATGTGCTCTGTAAAGCTTACATTAGTGTTGAAATAGACTCCCAAGTCTCTAATAGTTTCAACCCTGTTAATCTCCAAATCATTAAGAACGTAATTATGTAAGTAAGGTGTTTTTTTCCGAGAAAAAGTAATAACCTTACACTTCTCAACATTTAAGGGGAGTTTGTTTCTTTGACACCAAGTCCGAAACATATCCAAGTCCACTTGCAATAATTGAGCATCCCTGACATCCCGAACAACCATAAAACACTTCAAGTCATCAGCCAAGAGCAAAAAATCGGAATTTCTGAAGACACCTGACAGATCATTAATAAATATACTAAACAGCAAAGGAGACAGGTGTCCTCCCTGAGGCACCCCCGAGGTCACCGAAAATACTGAAGAGATGTAATTCTCAATTTTTACAGCCTGTTTTCTACCTGTGAGAAGACTTCCAATCAAGCTCAATAGACCTCCATGCAGCCCCACATCGGCCACCTTCTCCAATAGTATCTTATGGTCAACCCTGTCAAAGGCCTTGGAGAAGTCAGTGTAGACCGAGTCAATCTGACACTTATTCTCCAAGCCCTCCAACAGAGCCTCCTCATAGACCAGAAGATTAGTCAATGTAGATCTACCCTTAATAAAGCCATGCTGTTCCGGTACAATAACATGTTTCAAAATTGGTGTAAGAAAATCCGTTATTATAGACTCAAATACCTTAGAAAAAATAGACATTCTGGATATGGCCCTATAGTTTTTAATATTATTTCTTTCTCCACTTTTAAACACAGGAGTTATATAGCTTAATTTCCACATATCAGGAAACCGTCCCAACTCTAAAGCCTTATTGAATATTTTACATAATATTTCTGAAAGAATACAACTACAATTCTTAACAAATAATACTGGGATGTCATCAGGACCACAACCCAATCCATTCTTCAATGAATGTATCTTGTTAAATATATCAAGAGGGGTAATTAGAACCGAACTGATACTGCAATTAGACAAACTAGATAAATTAGAAACAGGAATGTTTCGATCACTCTCAACACTCACCTCAGTATAAACCGAGGAAAAACTATTCTTAAAGAGATTGACAATTTCATGAGGTGTGCTACCTTCATGCTCATCAAGAAACATAGAACTGGGATATCCACGATTTTCATTTTTCGATCGTACATATCTCCAAAATCCATTTCTGTCCTGTGTCTCGGACTCGATTTTCTCAATGAAATTCCTATGGCTGATATGAGAATAAATTTTACATTCTTTCCTAATTTCTGAAAAAACTCCATAATCCTGAGCGGACATAGTATTTTTATAGTTTTGATGTGCCTTTTTTTTAGACAAAATCAAACATTTCAAATGACTATCCATCCATCCTGGAATTTTGCTGTTTTTCTTTTTGAAATGGGTGTAAAGATCTCAATAGCATGATAAATTTGATTATAAAAAGTATCGACAGCAGAGTTTATATCATCCATATCAACAAAAGAGTCCCAATCCACACAAGACAGATAAACATTTAAATCCCTGAAATTACAATTCTTATAATCCAGAAAACAATAATCATACTCCAACTTATCAGAATTATTATCTGAAATTAATACATCAAAAACCAAAGCAGGATGAGGTGTGTCCAAATTCAAAAGTGGATCGGCTGATATTGAGGTACATACATCCTTATTACTACAAAATATCAAATCCAGAAAGTTCCCATAAATATTAGAAATATTATTCACTTGATATAAGCTATGGAAAGCCATGCAGTCAGCCAACTCTGTGGTTTGTTCAGATTGTTTACCAATAGCCCTAGTCCCATGCAAATCATTGATCCAGGACACATCCGGTCTATTAAAATCTCCACATAAATAGATTTCCAAGTTTTGACAACTACTACATATTTCCAACGCAGCTGTTACGGATGAGCAGTAACTTTCATAGGAGTCTATAGGAGAATCTGGGGGCAGATAAGCATTGCCCAACAAAATATGATGCTCTTTCAAAGAAACCAGTACAAAAATGTGCTCCACTGATTCAAATTGAGTAGATATCTGTCTACAATTAAGAGACTTCCTCACTGCAACCATGACACCCCCTTGTGACTTATGGACACTGGTTCTATCAGAACGATCACAGCGAAATATTAAGTAATTACTCATTCCCAATTCGCTCGAAAAAATGTCTTTATTCAGGAAAGTCTCAGTAAATAACACAAAATCATAGTTTTCCGTGGAAATATTGCACATAAGGGTGGTTAGTTTTGTTCTCAACCCCCGCACATTTTGATAGTAGCCTGTTAGAGCTACCCTGTTGCCAGAATATGTGTCTCCTGAACAAAATTTGATGGTCGATCATTTCGAGGTGTTCTATCTTGCCTGTCATTCAATTGTGAATCCAGCTTCACTCCCTCATTTCTAAACTGCCGTGGTCTAAATTGAAATTCCTTAAAAACCACTCCACGAGGCCAAAAGTTACAATCATTGATAGTATCAAAGTAGTTTTTAGCAATACTAAGCTTAAAAGATTTCATCCTGTTTCTGACCACCAGCTTCTGAACAGAAAGATTGCTATCATCCACTTTAAGTTTATTTTGCACAAATTCATGCACCACATCTTCACTAACTTCTTCCGAGAAACGAGCCCTATGAGCCAGTCATCTTTCTTGTTTTTTGTGTTATTTGTT